TGCCGGCCACAGGCCCTGGAGGCCAGGTGGGCAGGGAGAGATGCAAATCTAGATGGTGATGTCGGAAGAGTGGGTCCTCTCCAGCAAAGGGCCTGGGGGCACAATTCTTTCCCCAAGGGGAAGGGGTGCACTAGGAAGAGCTCTCACCCTACCCTTCTAGGCAGGCCTGGGAGGGGCAGGGGCGGAGCCAGGCCGAGGTGCGCCCGAGATCAGAGAAGCCACAGGCCCCGCCCTCAGAGATCAGTCGCTGTCACCTTCCCACCAGGCCCCTGGTCTGCTTCTCCTTCAGCGGTGGAGGCGTCGGAGCCAGCAGAACCCTCGGGCTTCTCCGTTTCCTCATCTGGAAGCCAGGGATGAGAGCCCCAACCTTCAGGGTTGTGGTGAGAATGAAAGGGTGACACCAATGACATTGGAGGAACAAAATGAATCACATCGGTCCTTGCAGGTGCGTCTGGCCAGCCGCAGCTTAAGCCTCCCTGGGCTCCTGAGACAGCCCCTGTCCTGGAGTCTGGCGTCCTGGGCTGCTCTCCCCGCTGGCGGTTTCCTGTGTGTGAACTCCCCTCCCGCCTCCCCTCTCCTGGCTGAGCACCCAGCACCCAACTCACAGCACGCAGGCTCCTGCTCATCGGTCTTTATTGTGCACCCCCGGTGTGGGGAAGGCAGGGGAGTAGCCCCCACCCCATGCCGAGTTGGCTACATTTTCCATGGTTTGGTTTCCTTCTCCTGGCTCCCCTGGCGCTGTGCAGTTTCATCTGGAAAGGGTAGGGCCTGGCTTAGTGGCTTCCTTGCAAAAGATATGAGCTCTTGCCCATAGGACCCCAGGCCCCCCGAGCCCCACCTGCAGCCTTCCCACTCAGAGCCTCTACCTCCCTGCCCAGTGAGAGCACCCCCTAGTCCCTGCTCAGGCTCACATCTAGGCTGCTTCCAGTTTGGGGGACTCTGGCAGCTTCCAGATCCTTGATCTAAGCCCATTGGACTTTGCCAGCTCAGGTCTTTAGTCATCAACCACTGATACCAGCCGGACACCAGTTGGGCCTCCTTGTCCTTAGAGGGCAGGGTAGTATCTGAAGTAGGGCGGAATGGTAGAAGGGGGAAAAGGAGGAGACATGGAGGTAGCAGTGGTGCCAAGCTGGACGTGGTCCCAAGCCCTTTGGGGCTGCACTGGTGTCAGTGTGGGCTCTGGGAGGTCGAGGGCCTAGCCTACGATTGGCTGTGGATACGATGGTGTGAAAAAGGATTGAGGGGGTGGGAATGAGAACTTGCCAGGAGTCAGGCCCAGAGAGCTGGTGGTCTGGGGTCCTTACCCGGCCTTACTGGTGTCACTCTTATCTTCAGGGACTTCTCTGAGGTCTGGTTATCCTGAAAGAGGTGTCTCTTGTGGCCCAACACTCGGACCTCGGTGTTTCCTACAGTCTCCGTCTCCCAGGCTAAGCTGGAAAAGCCTGGAAGCATCATGAACCAGGGTAAGCAGTCATCAGGCTGTTGGCCTGGGGGCCCTGCCATCAGCCTGACCTGGCCCAGCTCTCACTGTTAGGCAGTCCGTCAAGCTCCGGGTGGGAGCAGGACCTCAGGTATCTCCCTTTGCTGTAATACTCCTTGCGCTGAGGGTCCTGTGTCAGTGCAGGAGAGGTCACAGCTGGGGATGGATTTCCGGTGGTGGAAGAATCTGCAGGGTCACCCAAAACAATGCTTATGGCCACACGGGGTAGTCCTGCCCCCAGGTTGGCCGTCACCACTGCAGGGGGTGGGGGCACCACAGGGGAGAAGTGCAAGCCCTGGGGGGGCCTCATCTCTTTCCTTATCTTCCCTCCTCCCACTTAAGAAAGCCTTCAGGCCTGCATCCCCACCCCCCCACCCCATCCGCCTTCCTAGCTATTTCATCCTGAGTGGGGACTCATTTCTAGCTGTCCTTGGCTGCCCTGGGGCCACCTCTCAGCATGAACTCCCTCAGGCAGTAGCTCCCTGAGTCTGATATCCATCCTTTCCCCTGCGTAAGAGCAGCACTGTGACTGG